CACGGCGGAGATCGCCTTCCAAGTCAAGGAGCAGCTGCTGAAACACAACATTGGCCAGCGCGTCTTTGGCCACTACGTCCTGGGGCTCTCGCAGGGCTCCGTCAGCGAGATCCTGGCCAGGCCCAAGCCCTGGCGCAAGCTGACAGTGGGAGGGAAGGAGCCGTTCCTCAAGATGAAGCAGTTCCTCTCCGATGAGCAGAACGTGCTGGCACTGAGGACCATTCAGGTGCGCCAGCGAGGTGAGTGGCCTGGAGGGGGTCGGCTCAAACGCTACATAAGCCATGGGGGGAGGAGGGAGGGAGACATTGCAGGACGCAGGATGTTCACTTTGTCTTGCTGGGGGCAGTGGGAGGGAAGGAGCCGTTCCTCAAGATGAAGCAGTTCCTCTCCGATGAGCAGAACGTGCTGGCACTGAGGACCATTCAGGTGCGCCAGCGAGGTGAGTGGCCTGGAGGGGGTCGGCTCAAACGCTACATAAGCCATGGGGGGAGGAGGGAGGGAGACATTGCAGGACGCAGGATGTTCACTTTGTCTTGCTGGGGGCAAGCGGAATCCATAGCCCGGAGAGACCCTGTGGAAACTCCCTGCTTGCACTAGCGACCAGGAGGAGAGAGAGCCCCGATTCCCAGCACCTGGGAACAGTAGGCCAAGGTCCAATCCAGCAAGGTGCTGAGCCCCTGCCACCAGCAGCTTCCATGGGCACAGAGAGAGGGTTGGGCCCTAGGGAATAATAATTATTGAAAACCAACCTAAAGGGAGCCGCCTCACTGAGGCGCTTTGTTCATTTCTTCTGACAAGGGACATTTAATTGTTCATTGTACCATTTCAGGAAGTCCCAATCCATGGGCAGGAGAACCAAAAGAAAGACTTGACAGGAGACCTCAGTCCAGTGCTGCCTCTGCTATTAACTACTCTTCCCCTGCACAGGAGGGTTGCGAACACTCACAGCCTTAATCCCTTTCTTACTTGTCTCAGGCCACACACACAGTGTCGGGTTAGACCTGGGATTATAACCCAGGTTCTTCAATCCAGCATTTAGCCACAAGACCAACCAGCTCTGCTGTGAGGCAGTGTGGGATGTTACTACCCTTGCAGATTAGCAATGCGAGGCTGGTGCTGAACCCCTGTAGCTTCCCCCAGGCAGATGCTGGAAAAAATCAGGCTGCTTTGAAGAACTGAACTTGGCCAGAGTTTCTCTAGTGCCCAGCTGGCCCCTACCCTGAAAGGGTGCATCTACACAGCACCCTTACCTCTTAAATAAGCTACGCAATTTGCACTGCACAAATTGTGTAGCTTATTTCAAGGTAATTTTAAAATAGCTTATTTTGAAATTTGGCACTATCTGCACAGCACCAAATTTTGAAATAAAGTGCTATCCCGATAAGTCTCTTAACTCTCATGGAACAAGGGCTATAGGGATGCCAGAATAACACGCCCGTTGTTTCAAAATCTATTTCAAAATAATGTGCGTATTTAAAGATGCGGAATTGCTATTTCAGGATACTTCTGCTATCCCAAAATAGCCCCACTGTCTAGATGTAGCCTAGCTATTCAGAATTGAACACAGGCTGATTGAAATCCCCAAAAATGCACCAGATCATACCAATGTTCCCTCTAATCTTTTCCAGGCATGTGTGGATTTTTTGCAGAATACATTATGTTATGCACACCAAGACACGTGCGAACATGCACCACCAGTAGAAACAAAACCTAGCTGTGGGCACTTTGCTTATCTGTTGGGTGGCATTGGAATCTCTTCTGAGTGGCCGCACATGCACACAGCTTACAGGGGACACTGGAAATGTCTACATAGTGGGGCTATTTCAGGATACCGGAAGTATCCCGAAATAGCTACCCCACGTCTTTTGAACGTGCCTGCTATCTCAGGATAGGTCTCAAAATAACAGACACTCTCTTTCAGCATCCCTGTAGCCCCTATTCCATGAGGTTTAAGGGTTGTCTCAAAATAGCGCATTATTTCATAATTTGGCGCTGTGTAGACTATATCTTATTTCGAGTTTAGGGTGCTGTGTAGAAGCACCCTGGATGATATTGCGCTGTTCCAAATAGGGCTAAACACACTATAAAAACAAGTGTCCCCTGCCTGTAACAAACCAGCACACTGTGGTGTACAGATCACTTAGTTTTGGGTTAAAGCATCATCTGCGATATATACTTCATAGGAGCTCAATGCTGAGAGTAACTTCCAGCTCCTGTGTGACTAGGGCAGACAGGAAAGTGACTCTCCTGATGCTGCTGCTCTGTTATCCAAGAGACCTTGGTCGCTCGGTGGTAGATTAGAACCCTGCTGCAGCCTCTCTCCTCCAACTGGCAGGCAGGTCGTGGATTTTGCCATGTGAAAGGCTGGAGCAACTGACTGACCTGCCCCTGGAGCACACTGGCACAGCAGCATTTTCCACCCTGTTTCCTTTTCAACTTCTTGGCTCCCTGATCCTCCTGCAGCCTTCCCTGCACTTAACCTGGTTGGGCAGGATCAGGGGATGAGGGAAAGGGGGGGGGTCAGTTATGGGTGGCGCCGCCCTTCTGGTTCCGTGTCTCTCCAGAAATGACCTACATCAGCATTTGCCAGACATGCTGGGAAGCTCCTCTGAGCCCCAACGGGCCAAAACCGGGTGCAGGCTGGAGATGCCTGAAAAGTAGAGAACTGAAAGTTGTTCCCTCCTCCTCCTCCTCCCCCCCCACAACCAACCCTGCGGCATTCACAGTCCATAAGAGGTCCAGGGGAGAGCTGGAGAATGTACAGCTCACATAGTCACCTAGTGCAGCAATAGCTCTGTCCTAGCTCTCTGCAGCCTGCTCCAGCCAGCCACTCCGATACTTCCCTTGGCCTCCAGTGCTTGACAAACACATAGCCAGATGCTGAGTGGGATCGCAGAAGGCACGTGAGCTCCTGGTCTTTGCTGTACCATAGGTGGCATAGTTCTACATTACAGAGGGGGGCAAGGGGCTAGCCGAGTGGTAGCAGCTGCAGTCGAGATAAGGCGTGCTCAGCTGCTTCTGCTTCAGGAGCTGTAAGTGGTGGAAACTGGTTTTCTGTTTCTAAGGGGAGAAACTGAGGAGCAGAGGCTACTCTGGAACCAGACAACATAGGGCAAGAGTCCATCAGCCTGCAGGCAGGCAGGACCAAGTATGCTGGGACCCTCTCTGCCAGAGTTGGTCTAATCCAGCAGTGGGGAAATACCAACATTGGTTAGCCCCTGCTGCTTCCCGCAACTCCCATTGTCTGGGAACAGCAATCTGTGGCCAATGGGAGCTGCAATCGCCTGTACCTGTGGAGGCTCAGGTAAATATAGCAGCAATGGTCCACCAGGGGCTAATCCTGGCAAATCGCCGCCATCTTATTGCCCACGCCTGGTCTAATCTGTTCTTGGAAAAATTGTCCCAGAATAAAATCACATTCCCAAGGGGGATTAATTCCAGAATACTTAAATCATACTGTCACAGGTATTCTGGAATAGTCTTTCTGCATTAGTGATGCTGGTCGGTTTCTCCCTGAAACATGAGCCCGAATCTACTTGCTATGGAATCCAGAAATGACCTATGTCAGCATTTGCCAGGCACACACAGGATAAAAACTCATTTAATCTCCAAGCAGATTCAACACGGAGCCCTGCTATGTTCCGGCTAATTGAAAACTCTGCATCATTGTTAGACATGCCGCTTGGGAGAGCCATTTGTTTGTCAGTGTGATTGGAGGATTCAGACAGACCCAGGGAGCTGCCCTAACAAATGAAAGCATCCTGCTGCCAGGTTGCTAGCATAAGATCCAGGGAGATGGGCCATTTCAGAGAGAGCCAGTAGCATGCTCGTGTATTTCATGGGCATGTGAAAGGCACGGAGGCAATATCCTGACTAGAGCTTTGCTTTTGGCAGTCTATTTGATAGGCCCCATAGGAACGTGGGTTCTGTGCAGCCTTCACACAGCATATTAAATCCAGTGCTGAGGGCAGGCACCAGATCCTACAGCGGTGTCCAAACGCCGCTATTTAGTGGGCTGGACATGAGGGTGGGGGGTGAGTTTCACGTGGGGTAGCTGGCGTGTCCTGGTGGGTGTGACGAGCCTCGTGCAGACAGGCACATGGCTTGAAGCCCAGGCTAAGCAGACTGAGGTAAAGCCCAGGCTCCCTAGGAGGTTTTAGTCTGATCTGCTCAGCTCAGGCGGAAAGCACCACTTAAGAGGTGAGCATAGTTGAGGAGGGGAAGCTGGCCAAGCCACGGCCCACAGCACATTACTGCCTCTTCTCATGGGCCCCTCACAGCGGTATCAGGTATTGGAGCACCTCAGGGGTGTTGTACAAACACAGATCACCGACTGCCTGATAACAGCGGGCTGGAGAGCTCAGTACCCGGGGCCCGACGGGCCTTTGGCCTCTCTGCCAGCAACAGGAAAGAAAGGCGGAAGGAAGATCTGCAGGAAGGCACAGACCCAGTTAGCAGGGAGAAGGGCTGTAACACAAAAGCAGAAAATGCCCTGTGGGGAGGGCAGCCCAATTCTATTCCCACGCCAGCTGCGAAACCCACGGTTCCCCAATACTTCTCCTCTTAGATCTCCCAGGCAGCCAATGTATAGCCCTTCCCATCAGCACCTGCACAGGGGGAAGTGGGCAGTGAGGCGAAATTAACCTCTTGTCCACTTGTGTCCCTATTACCTGGCTAAGCGGTGCTGGCAGGGGCGCTCAGCTGAGAACACAGTGCTGTGAAAGCCCTCTGGAGTTTATTCCCCCCAGAAGCAAAGTACACTCACACACTCCCTGCGGCCAGCATCCGTGCTGCGTTGGTGTGTTCCCGCCTTTGTTGCAAATGGGATTGCAATGCCCTTCAAACCAGAGGGCATTGGGAGAAGGGGAGGAGGCCGTGCTGCATGGTATAGGAAATGAATGAGGTGTAAACTGACAGCCAGATACCTGGCCTCTCTTCAGTTTTGCTAGTGACTAATGGGGAGTGACGTTTCCTTAAAAGTGGCGTTCCTAAAAATAACCGAACACGAGCATCGGTAAATACTTCCTGACATACAAGTGGAGCTTGTAAAAACAGCGCAAGTGACAAATCTGTTATCATGCCTCTTTGATCAGGTAGCATTACTCCGAGGATTAGAACGCCAGAAACCGGCTCTGACGATGCCATCAAAAATATCCTGGAACAAGCGAAGAAGGAGATCGAGTCTCAAAAGGGAGGTAGGTGGGGCAGTCACAGAGCCAGGCAAAGCTCCCATCATCACACAGATGAGTGTTAGCCTCAGGGCAAGCTTTGGATTTATGGTGCCAAGCCGACAAAATGATATATGGGAGCTGACCCAGCCAAGAGAAGCAGTGCCTGGGATCCACATCTTTCTGATCATTCTCTTCCTCCTGAGATACCACACCTGGAAAACAGAGGTCAGGACTCGTTAAATGAACAAAACTATTGCAGGTACAGGAGAAGGAAGTGAACGGAGGGCCCGACTGCGTGAATCTGTCAGGCACATAATTAATACATGAGAACAATAATAAGATCCCAAATATCCCTTAAGTGCTTGATCACTAGCGGAGCGGCAGCTTCATGCCAATGGGATGGTGTGTCGTCCCCTTCTGCGTCCTCTCGCCCCAGGTCATTGCTCCTTCCCATCTAAGCAAAATGAGGAACAGATTTGCCTGATTTGTTCTTTGACCACTAAGTCCCCTGTCCTAATCCCGTCCCACCTTGCAGTTTGGTGTTACCACACAGAGAACTGTGGGAAGTGAAACTGACCCACCCTTCTGCATGGGTAAGTCGGAAAAAACGCTAAAAGGGGGGAAACACCACCAATAAAGCAATTCCCAAAAGAGATAAAAAACCAAGCACAGTCTCTGTTTCATCCCTTGGGTTAGTCTTTGTACAGGTAGGGCTGCAAGTTTTTCCAGAACGTCTAGTGGTTTTCAGCACCTCAGTTTTTAAGTCGGTAGCTTGAGATCACTTTGTGGGGTCTGACTGCCAGAGACTGGCTGCTCTGCACTTTCTGAGGACCAAGGCCTGTTTAAGATGTCTCAGGTGGAACCCCAGACTTTGTCCCTTTTGAAAACCTTGCACATTTTGTTAAACTTCTTGGCTGAAATTGTACAACTGGAAGTGCCGACCATAAATATGGATTTAGGCAGTTATCTTTAAGCATCTGGGCTTGAAAGAGTTGAACACCTGTTGTTTAATCCAGAAGTGTCCTTTTAAAATTAGTTCCCTGGTATTCTTACAACTACTGAGACCTGAGCAAGGTATGTATAAAATTCATCACTTCATTCCAATGGGTCTGTTGAAATGTATGTACTGCATGCTGCCCTCTGCTGGATGCAGGCATAGCAACACCTCTGATGCTGGAAGTAATTCCATAATTGGGCTTTTCTTGTCATTTCCTATCTTTGAAGAATAATCTGTGATCATTATCTTGCCATTAGATTGAAGCCAATTCTTAGTAGAACTGAGACAATGTCATTTGGCAAAATCCACATACACAGTTGTACTATAAAATGAAACCTTCCATGTAGACTTCTGACAGTAGGGGACAGCAATGAAAACAAACCATTTAAATGTCATTACAGAAGATACATTTTTCCATGATTCTGGGGGCTCCTCAGCTCCCTGCCTGCACAAAGGCAAATGTAAATTGAGTTGCTGTTTTAAAAACTTCAAATCTAACCTCTTTTTCCCTGAAATAGATGAATAAATAAGGATGCCTGATCCATATGGCATGAGGAATCATTAAACCAGCTGTGTTCAGAGTCAATTACAAGAAGTGAAATATTTTAAAGCAGGTAGTCGCTGACAAAGCAGAATCCCAAAGAATTAAATTAGATGATAATGGTGGAAAAACAGACAGGGAAAACAAACATGTTTGCATATTGGCATAATCTTTAAGGGGGTTTATTTGGCAGTGGTAAAAATAAAACACTGGCTTCAGATGTGCATGGCAAACCATACGCTCTAGTGGGCACTTATGTCCAGACAAACTCTCTGACTTCGTGTGCCGCTGACTTTCCAAATCAGCCCAAGGAGAGCTGAAATTTGCCAAGCTGAATGTATGCCCCAAACTGAATTGGATTAAGAAGGTTCAAGTACAATCTCTTCACCTGAAGAATTTAAAAACAATTGGCATATTAGAACATCAGAAGTCATTTCCATTGTGAAGATATAAGAAGCTTCATGTAGACATAGTGATTGCTACCATATTTATCCAGAAATATAGGAAACTAACTCAGATCACACTATACCAGCCAACATGGAAACTCCCCTATCCCCTTCACTTCAGTAAGATCTGGTCATCACATCCAGATTGGGATGATTTACATGATAATGATATGAAGCAGAGGCATTTTTTTTAAGGCAAGGAAATTACATGCAAAAAACTGGACTGCAGAGGTAATGTCCTAACATGGGAATTTTTTTAATTTAAAGGTCAAAAGCAACCTTAAAAAATAGATGATTATTTGTGTTACCTAGTGCCTGTGGGCTCCAGCTGAAATCAGGGCCCCATTGTACTAGGTTGTGCCCAGCCACATAGTGTGAGAGACTCTTTGCCCACAAGAATTTCACAATCTAAACAGACAAAACAAAAGATAAAACCAAATCCAGTGCTTGAGTGACTGGATGACAGCCAGATTATCACCCCTCTGTCTGGAAATGGTTTAACTCCCCTTGTTTCAAGGCACCCTGAAATTATTTATGAGATTAGCAAAAGATGTTATTTTTCTCTGTTTTCAGTTTGGTTCCTTTGTGCACTTTGTGTCTTGTCAGTTTCATCGTTTCCCATATGGTCTGTCAGGGCCCAGTCCTGAAAACTCCATATGTCTGTCAGTTCTGGGACTGACAACATGAGTAAGTGTGTGCAGAATTGCTTTCCCCTGTTGCTTGTGTGAGACTTACTCACACCAATTAGAGAGGAAACATACTTTAAAAAACAGGACAATGAAATTATGAACCCACAAATATTGGCAAGGGAGCCGTTTAAGGGCAGATGTGGCACATGAAACCATGTTTAACAGACTTCTTAATTGACTGACTAGATTTTAAGTTGTAGCTGCCCTTCTAGCTTGGTCCTGCTGCACTTATGCATTGTATTCTGTTCCTCTGTTTTGCTGTAGTGTAAAACATTATTATGGCAGGTGTCCCCAGGTGGCACTGTTACACATAGTCTTCCAAGTTCTTTTCTTTGGCATGCGAGCAACTGGTCAGTCTTGGGAAGATATGCTCTGTGTCTTCTTGTTAAGGCTCGGATTAGAAAGAGCTATGGGAGCACCAAGGGAGTTTGCTCTCTGCCTTGGTCTCTGAAGCTATATCTATAATACAGATCTTAAAAACTGCACAGCTCTGCCACTATGGCTGTGCTGCTCTAATTTTTCCTGTGTAGCTACTCTTTGCTGATAGGCTAGAGCTCTCTTGCTGGCATATCTAACCCACCCCCAAGGAACAACATTAGCATTGTCAGTAGGAGAGCCTCTTCTGCCAGCATAGCACTGTCTACACCAGCACTTTTGTCAGCAAAACTTAGGCTGCTCAGGGAGCTGGGTCTTTTACTCCCATGACCAACAAAAGTTTTTCCAACAGAAGTGTTAGTGTAGACAAAACCTGAGTGGAATCAGTTCCTGTGCCTGAGTTGCTCCCAGGAAATCAGACATTAAGATGGGCTGAGATCCCAAAAAAGGAGGGTTTGCTCTGTATGCTGTTTGACCACCCTCTGTTCTAGGACTGGTGTATGAGTGTAAACACAATGGCTACATCTACACTGGCACCCTTTTCCGGAAATGCTTAAAACGGAACAGTTTTCCGTTATAAGTATTTCCGGAAAAAGCGCGTCTACATTGGCAGGATGCTTTTCCAGAAAAGCACTTTTTCCGGAAAAGCATCCGTGGCCAATGTAGATGCGCTTTTCCGGAAAAAAGCCCCGATCGTCATTTTCGTGATCGGGGCTTTTTTGTGGAAAAGACTACTGTGCTGTCTACACTGGCCCTTATCTGGAATAGTTTTTCCGGAAAAGGACTTTTGCCCGAACGGGAGCAGCATAGTTTTTCCAGAAAAACACTGACAATTTTACAGTAGATTGTCATTGCTTTTCCGGAAAAGCAATCAGCCAGTGTAGACAGCTGGCAAGTTATTCCGGAAAAGCGGCTGCTTTTCCAGAATTAGTGGCCCACTGTAGACACAGCCAATGAGTTACTTTCAGAGTCATCCCCTACACCACATTACTGATTTCTCCTCCACTGGAGAGGTGATGTTCAGAGCCTCAGACATATGCTACCTCTCACTAAATGAGCAACATACTGTCCCCTATGTGAGTATACAATACATAATGGGGCTAGTGATCTATTGCTCCAGGAAACATCTGCCTTTCCTGACTTCTGTGGTTTTTAACCACGTTTCCCATTAATAGAAATTAATTTAATTCTTTATGTAAATATTTGCATTGGCTTCTAAACTCCCCTCTGGTCTTGGCCAAGATTTTCCAAAGGGGCCACTAAGTTTTGGGTGTGCAGTTCATGACGATTGTGTAGTCTGTGTAATTGTGTAAAGTTTCAGTTGAAGGAAACACAATTCATAAAGCTGAAGCAAATGAGAATGGGGGGATACAATGGAAAAGCTTTCCCTGTCCTTTGCCAGTGTATTAGCAAGCTTTCGTTAGAATGCATTTGTCACAGTTACATAATCCAGTAATTACAAAGAATTTATGCTACCTGCAAAAATAGCTTGGCTTTCTTTTCTCTCTCCACCCACAAACATTCAACTTTTGATCTCTGCAGAAGACACTGACACAGTGAGTGACACCTCAGTGAAAAGGCTTACAATGATCTTTAGCGATTTTTTTCCCATGGAGGGTTCACAGCTCTATAAATAGCTTCCATTGTTGCTTGCAGTATTGTAGCTAACTCGCTCCCAGGATATCAGAGAGACGGAATGGGTGAGGTCATATCTTTTATCTTTTATTGGACCAAATTATGTTGAGGAAGGAGACAAGAGCCCTGGGTAAGCATGAAAGCTTGTCTCTTTTACCAACAGGTTGGTCCAGTAAAAGATATTATCTCACTCAGTCTGTCTTTCTAGATTTAGAAATAATATTCCAGACCTCCTCCTGAAATAACCCTATACTATATAATCAACAGTTGCCCCAAAGCTCAGTGATTTAAAAGGCCTTGGGGCTGCAGGCATCTGCCTCTGTTACTGCTGCTGAAGTCCTGCACAGTGTGATCCAGATGGCACCGAGGGCTGGCTGCCTCAATCCACGCCCCTTTCACCTGAGACCCCACCCCTTACAGGGGACTCAGATCTTTGTCCCCCACACACACATTACCCAGGACCCAGTGAAGTCTGTCACCAGCCTTGATAGTCAATATAATCATATTTGTGCATAAGAGCTAGGCTTGTTGTTAATAATAGTATTTTTAATAAACATAGCTCATATAAAGATAGGATGGTGGTGGTGTTAGATGGACTCCCCCCCTGCCTTTTATTGGGAGGCCATACCCTCAACTTCTCTCTCAAACCCCTGCAAGTAGAGCCCTACCAAATTCAGGGCCATTTAAAACATATTGCAGACCATTAAATCTGGTGTCTCCTCATGAAATCTGGTCTTTTGTGTGCTTTTACTTTATGTTCTAGAGATTTCACAGGGATAACCAGTGTTTCTCAAATTGTATGGTCTAGACCCAAAAGGGAATTTCATGGAGATTGCAAGGTTATTTTCAGGGAGTTGTGGCATTGCCACACATCTGTGCTGCTTTCAGATTTAGGCGGCCAGAAAGCAGCAGCTGCTAGCTGAGGGCCCAGCTCTGAAAGCAGCAAGGTGGAAGTAAAGGCTGGCAACCATAGTATGCCATCCTTCCTTCTGCACTGCTGCTGGTGGCAGCTCTACCCTCAGAGCTGGGCTCCTGGGCAGCAGCCTCCAGTTGCCTCTCCAGTTGCCCAACTCTGAAGGCAGCACTGCTGCCTGCAGCTGCACAAAAGTAAAGGCCACAGTGCCACAGTCTCCAACCCCATAATCTTGCAAATCCCCTCCCAGCTCTTTTTTTGGGTCAAAACCCCTTCAGTGGCACACTGATATTTCAGATTTAAATAGCTGAAATCATGACATTTACAATTGGCAAAATCCTGTGCCCATGAAATTGACAAAAATAGACCTTGAATTTGGAAGGCCCTCGCCATAAGAGGTTATAATGTGCGGCTGTCCATGAACAGCATAGATATATGTTCTAAGATCTAAGTGTTCTTTTCCATGAAGGCTATGATGGCTCTTTGCTCAGGGCTGCCCAAAGGGATCATATGTAGACTGTTGTTCTTTTGAAGGCATTTACAACCAGCTAATCCTATTGGTTTAGATTGTGTTGACTCCAGCATTGAGGTTCTGTGCTGCAGAGCATTACCAGTGCTTTCCAGCTGTAGATCTCCGAGCTCCTTACAAAAGACTTTATCCCCTTTTCTGAGCTAATCCTGCTGCATGCGTAACCCGTTGATGAAGTATGTGAGAGAAGGGAGGCAAGTCTGTTACAGCCCCAGTGAAAGAGGGTTGGGGTTTTCATTAAAGCTATAGCAGCTCACGCTTTTAGCTCTGAAAGTCCCTGGTTTAATTCCTGAGGGGTCAGCCATGACGGTGGCCATCCCATCTCCTGTGCAGAATGAGCTGGGCTGGTCCAGAAGAGCTAGCACATCCCCACCCAGCCAGGTCTCAGATCTGTCAGCCCCATGATACGCAGATGTGGAGGGAAGGTTCTAGCAGAGCGTCCATGGCCTAAAACCTGTGTGGGCCTGTTGAGGCCTGCAGCCAACTGTGCTGAACCCAGTGAATCAGAGGGCCCTGGCCCCCGCTCAAGATGCCCTTTGCCCGGCAATGTTTCATTTCCCAGTCCTGGGCAGTGCCCTTTCCCTGCCCCCTCATTCCTGCGTTGTCTGCTCTGTCCTCAGGTGAAACCAAGAGCTTGGCTGCCCCCCAGGCAGTCACCAATGGCAACAGCAACTCAGAAGAGGCCATTAAAAGCATCCTGGAGCAGGCCCGGCGGGAGATGCAGGCCCAGCAGCAGGCCCTACTAGAGATTGAGTCTGGCGGCAGCAGCAGGCCCGAGGCCGCACCACCCACAGAGCGTTCCACCTTGGCCACTGTCAGCCAGAACATCGTCCAGGCCTACATCAAGCAGGAGGAGGGGACGCTGGGCACTGGGTCCAGCTCCACCTCCACGCAGACCTCCCTGGCGGTGCTCTCGCCCGCCGCCTTTGTGCAGAGCATCATCCGCAAGGTCAAGTCGGAGATAGGCGACGCCGGCTCCTACTTCGACCAGCACTGGGCCTCAGAGAGGAGCCTGCTCAGCCAGCCCTACACCTCCGTGTCACCGTCCCTCTCCTCCTCCTCCTCCAGCTACTCGAGCCTGGCCAATGGGCGAGCCTGGCTACGGGGGGAGCCCAGCGAGGAGGAGCTGGCTGCAGGCGACGAGGAACCTCATAAGGCTGTGGAGATGAAATCCGAAGGGGCCAGCTCAGAGCCACAAAGCGCTGGCCGCCTCTCCTATTACCCGGCGTATGTCCCGCGCACCCTCAAGCCGACTGTGCCCCCACTCACCCCAGAGCAATACGAGATGTATATGTACAGGGAAGTGGACACCTTGGAGCTGACAAGGCAGGTGAAGGAGAAACTGGCCAAGAATGGAATCTGCCAGCGGATCTTCGGGGAAAAGGTACTGACCCAGAAGGAGCTGGCCCAGAGACTGGCCAGAGCCCTGAGCCTAAGCATGCCCCAGTTTAAAAATTGGCTTCCCTCTCTGGTCTTCTTTGCTATCCCAGCCACCGTGGTGCCTTCCCTCATCAGCCATGTCCCCATAACACTCTAGGGGTATGTCTACACTAGAAAGTTAGTTCGAACTAACGGACGTTAGTTCGAACTAACTTTCCTATGAGTATTTTGGGAATACTTGCAGTGAGGCAGCAGAATATAGGGAAGGAATACCTATGGCTTAAAAATTCATCTTTATCTATAAGTCTTTCTGACTTTCATTATACAACATAGAGTAATTAAAAGTGAATCGGAGTGGCTTAGAGAACTGGAAATAGCTTTTTTTTCCCTTCATTTTTTCTTAGTTGACATGCTACATATCTGGAAGGCAGGCAATCATTTTTATAACAAGATTGGAATTCTCCACAATTCACACTTCTCAATTTTAGTCTCAGAACATTTAATTTCCACTGATTTGTTTTTTACAGTTCTTCATTCTATAGCCAGACAATGAAAGATAGTCTCCAAAGAAACTATTCTTTATCCATTTTGAGAAGTCGGCTTTCTTGTAATTTCTCATTTTGGGAAAAAAATAGTTTGTCAGTAGAGTAATTTGAATTACTGCCCTGGACCGCAAGAGGAGGGCACCTTCCTGGGCTAGTGAGGACATCGTGGACCTCGTCCACGATCTCCGCACTAGGCACAGGAAAGTGGCCGTCTAGGGCAGGAGAGCTGCCAGCCTGGCCACCCAGGACCAGGTGTGCATGAAAATCAAGGGGGTCCACTGAGACCCCCGACACTGAGCCCTGAGCTTACAATGGCCGTCCTGGGTCAGACCAAAGGTCCATCTAGCCCAGTAGCCTGTCTGCCAACAGCGGCCAACCCTAGGGACCCTGGAGGGGATGGACCGAAGACAATGACCAAGCCATTTGTCTCGTGCCATCCCTCTCCAGCCTTCCACAAACTTTGGGCAGGGACACCACTCCTACCCTCTGGCTAATAGGACTCCATGGACCCAACCTCCATCACTTTATCTCACTTCCCTTTAAACTCTGTTCTAGTTGTAGCCTTCACAGCCTCCTGCAGCAAGGAGTTCCACAGGTTAACTATTTGCTTTGTCAAGAACAACAACTTTCTCTTACTAGTTTCAAGCCTGCTACCCATTCCTTTCCTTTGGTGTCCTCTAGTCCTTCTTTATGGGAACTCAGGAAGAACTTTTCTGAATGCACCCTCTCCACCCAACCCCTGCTTTTAGAGACCTCTATCCTGTCCCCCCTCCGTCTCCTCTTTTCTAAGCTGAACAGTCCCAGTCTCTGTAGCCTCTCTTCATCTGGGACCTGTTCCCAACCCCTGATCATGTTAGTTGCCCTCCCCTCTCCCAGCCTTTCTCTTCCCCTCTCCCACCTCCTTTTCCCAGTCTCCCCCAGTTTTTTTCAATAAAGACAGAGTCAATGTTGGAAGAAACGTTATCTTTATTTTGTACATCAATAAGAAGGGGGGCTAGGGAAGGGTAAGTGGAAGGAGGTGAGGGAGGAATGGGGTACGAGCCCCCGATGGGGAGGACTGGGCTGGCTCTGCGGGCTTCTGGGGGTGGAAGCTCTCCTGCAGCCCCCCAATTACTCCCTCTCCCCAGATGGCAGCCTGCGGCAAGTGCAGCCGGGCTGATGGCCGAGTGGTGTGATGTGCCCAGTGTGGGCACTCAGGGCACTCCAAGCCAGAACTTCTTTGCAAGCGGGGCACCCCTTAGAACTGTGTGTCCGGGGTGGGGGTCGGGACCCTTTAAGCGCAGCCCTCGGCTAGCCTGAGACAGTATCTCCATGCTCTAAGTCCTCCTTTTATGCCCTGCCGGCACTGCTTCCGGCCATCATTAAGCCCTGTTCAGAGTCCACTCAATGTGGACTTACTAGTTCGAACTAGCAAAACGCTAGTTCGAACTAGTTTTTAGTTCTAGATGCGTTAGTTCGACCTAGCTTAGTTCGAATTAACTAATTCGAACTAAGTTAGTTCGAACTAGCGCTGTAGTGTAGACGTACCCTAGGTCTCCTCCGCTAGCAGTGCCACAGGGCTCCCCACATCTCCATACCCCCTCGAGCATTTTAGGGACCATTTTACACCACACAGTCCAGCAGACTTCCCTCTTTCCACATAATCGGGAGGGGACAATTTGGCCTTTCCCCTAGTTGTTGCTGCTGTCTGCCATACCCCTGTGCTCAGAGCATGGGGCTGACCGCTCTGGCCAGGGGCCCATGGAGCCACAGGGATGCAAGCCAGTTTCTCTGGGAGGTGGGTAAAGGTCGCAAGAAAAATCCCAGGCCCTGTCTCAGGGGGGGGCGGGAGCACGGGGCCTGCTTGGCAGGTGCCTTTTGCTTTCCCAGCCATTGGCCTCTCTGAGCTGCTCCACTTCCCATCTGTCTCCCTCACTGCCAGGGCTGGGCCAAGCTAGTGTGGGCCCTTTCCCTGCTGCCAGCCACTGCTTCCCCTTCCCCTCGCCTGTCTTCTCTCTCCCAGGCCCTTGGTGGAGCAGCCAGAAGCACAGCACCCCCTGCGAGTGGCCTTTGGGGCTTTGGGGCCATTTCTGGCTGGATTTCCCCCATGCTCTGGACTCAAGGCACTGGGCTGCTGGGGGTGCTGGGAGCTTCCAGCCCAGCCCAGCCAGGGGAAGATTCTCTTTGGAGATCAGTTAATGGAGCAGCAGCAGCCACTCTGGTTGTACAGCACAGCACAGTGTGCTTGGAATAGGGTTTGGTAGCAGGCTGGGGGAAAAAAGGGAACTAGAGGCGACGACAGCCCAGCTCCTCCTCCGAGTGCTAGGAACACAGCCTGTTGCTCACAGATCATGTATGAAACTGCTGGGTGGGACTCTGCCCCCTGTTGGATCAGTTAATGGAGCAGCAGCAGCCACTCTGGTTGTACAGCACAGCACAGTGTGCTTGGAATAGGGTTTGGTAGCAGGCTGGGGGAAAAAAGGGAACTAGAGGCGACGACAGCCCAGCTCCTCCTCCGAGTGCTAGGAACACAGCCTGTTGCTCACAGATCATGTATGAAACTGCTGGGTGGGACTCTGCCCCCTGTTGTCTCCCCTTCTGCACCCTTAGCTCCCACATACATGGGCCAGAGAAGCTCCATAGCTGCACAATTCCCGAATGCAGGATTTCCTGTGAAACCCACACACACATGCTGACCCCAGGAGGGTTTGCCCATAGTACGCAGCCCTAGCACTGGGGCTGGTGGCTGGTGAGGGTGCCATGGTTCAGAGCAGCCCTGGGGTTGATTCTGTTATGATGGCATGAAACAGAAAGGGGGCCATTGCTCTGCCTTCCCGCGGGGCTGCAAACTCCTAGCATGGGCTCCAAGCTGGGACTATGCCGTGAACACCAGACCTGTCTCCAGCCTCAGTAGTTTGGATGGACAATCTCCCACTTAACACTAAAGGAGTCTGTGGGAAGAAACAGCAAAGATTCATAGAGTTTACGGGCAGAAGGGACCATCGGAACCTCTGGTCTGACCTCCTGTGTATCCTAGGCCATTATTTCCCCCCGCTACCCTTCCCCTGAGCCCAGGGACTGGTGTTTGACTAAAGCATCTTCCTGAAGAAGTTAATCGTCCAATCCTGTGACTCCTGCTGTAGGTGCTGGGCTTGTCTCAAGGAAGCGTGAGCGACATGCTGTCCAGGCCCAAACCATGGAGCAAGCTGACCCAGAAAGGCCGAGAACCATTTATCAGGATGCAGTTATGGCTCAATGACCAGCTTGGCCAAGGGATCAGCCAGCAGCCAAACCCTCCACAGGGTAAGTTCGTGCTGCTCTTTGACACTACACCGGCTGCCTTGAATATTGTGCAGAGGAATGATCAGGGATCTAAGTTCCAATGCACTCAGAGCCTGGGGATGTTGAGAGTGTTTGGTCCAGCTATGGTGTGAACTAACCAGTGATGTTTCTCTGATCCATTGGATTGACCCAGCTGATAAATTAATAGATGGGTCATTTCACCACTCCGACCTGTCAGTCGGTCTGATCATTGATATTTGTATCAACCAGGGAACTTTCAGCTTTAACCTGGAAACTTCAGGTACTTTTCAGCTCTCCTCTTTAACAAAACCCAGAAGGAGGAGTACACTCAGCAGGATAAAATATCTCAGTACAGTAACATTTGCATTTCCCATTCTGGTGGGTAGATCTGCTGAGCAGGAGCTTTCATTTTGCAGAGGGCTGAAAGCAATAAGGCCCTGGCCTCTTAGCACTAACCATAATACAAATGATAAATTATAGCAGACATGCCAAAATACAAGAGGTGGGTGACACTTCTCAGCTGAAACCTATTTTCATTAAAAAAAGAAGAAGATTCAGTGACGCTAAAATGTTTTGTGAATTCATGTCATTTCACCATATTGTTCATTCAGGGAGGGGAGAGGATTCCAAAAGCATCAAATTGTTTCCTTTCAGCATTTTCTAAACACAACATTTTGTTACATTTGAAATAACTTCTGGCTTCAACATTTGCTTGAATTTTAAAATGTCAGAACATTTTAAAAGGGTCAGAATTGAAAGAAAGCATTTCATTCCATTTGAAATGGAATATTTTTAATGCTTCAGTTTGTGGAATTTTTTAGTTTTTGATCTGAAACAAACACTTTTTTTTTCAAAATCTTGAAATCACCAGTGAAGCAAAAAATCAGTTCTGTACAAAACATCCCGTCAGAGACCAGTCTCACAATATTGCTTCCCAGCTAGAAGCCAAATGTGCTATACATTGCATAAAACAGACTGAGCTTAAAAAATTTCCAAGCTAATTAAGTTAGAGCAGAGTTGTTAAGAAGAGGATCCAACAAATGTCTGAACATTTTTGGTTTATTTCTATGGATGTTTGACAGCAACCATGCACAGCTCTTTAGCAGGGTTTGAACCTGAGATCTATAGCACCACAGTAGAGACCTGAGTTGCTGGAGCTAAAAGAGGCACTCTATCAGGGAGCACTGATAGTAGGTTATTATCCTCTCTTTGGCACAGCGCTCAGGGAGGTGCAACCCACACTGTATAAGCATGCTACAGATATATACACTCATATGACTCCTGTAAAGTTACATGCATGTATCTCCGAGCCAAATACAGCTCTCCGTGCAGAGGCAAGGCACAGGGGTCTCGGTCAAGGTGTGCTGCCTCATCTGTCTCTTAATGAAGTCAGTGGAAAAATTCCCAGACTTCACTGGGCTTTCACCCACTAGATCAAGTGTCAACACTTATTTAAATGGAGAAAGCGAATATAGTTGTTGAGCACCATACTACATAGCCACATGGCATCCAACCTTAGCAAACCAGTGTGGGAGATTGCCAGTCAATCCGTTAGCCTGTCTTTGAGCCATTAATGATGCTGACACTAAGGTCCAGTCCTAACCAATTGGCGGTCCTGGGTGACCACCCGGATCACCCATAGGATTGCTAGATGATTTCAAATAAAATACCAGACCAAAAAAAAAAAAAAATCTGAGGAACATTTGTCAAACAAAAAAAAGGGGGGAGGGTTGGGGAGTAACCAGGGAAACCTGGAAGGTTGGGAGATCGAGCCAAAATTCAGCCTCCCTCCTCTTTTCCCCCTCCTATGCTGCATTCAAATTGGGATGCTATATTTCCAGGTTAAAAAAGGCATGTACATTCATTCCTCCTCCCTCTCCTTCCTCCCCCCCCCCCCCCCCCGCCTTCCGATACACACACACACAGACACACACACACGCTGTCATCTTTTGGAAAGGATGCTTCATACATCTTTCCTGAGCCATTGTTCTGACATAGCCGATTCATTTCCAGCCCCCTTAATTAGTATGTTTCACAAAATAAGGTTGTTCTACAGATCCTTCAAATGTTATTTTGTCAGAAATTGGTTTTGAAAGTCATCTGGTTAAAAAAAAATCCAACAACAACAAAATCCTTTGGCTGTATGCCTAGAACAGAGAAGGCATGGGGGTGGAGGGAGGAGAATATTAATGTTGTGTTTTCTCTCCTTAATTATTCCACTACCACAGATCTGTATATAAGTTTTTGACTTATCAGTCCCCCACTTGCAAAAAGAAGAGACAGGTGACATTTCTCCCTCCTCAGATGCTCTCCATTCTGTGCGTGTTGCAAATGACAAATCACCCCAATAAATAACGTTCTAGTTATTTTATCTCTCATTGATTTTCTTATTTTCTCCCTCTCCCCCACCAAGGTGACTGTCACATGCAAGCAGGAGAAAGAGATTCTCTGTCAACTCCTGTTTGCCCCCAGATGGTCTCAAACTCGACTGGAATTGACAGTTGTTAAGAAAGGGGGAAAGACATGGAGAGACAGCGTGCCATGAAATTAGTCTGCAGCCGCATGCAAGCAGCTGTCGGATTTGTACAGAGGATTTTGTTATCAATAAACCCGTTCAAAGGGATGTTTCAAGTGCGCTTAAATGTCTTCCCGGTGATAGATCTAGGCAGAAAGACACTGGAGATCTGAGACCAGGAGGGGATCTGAGAGAGATGTGGCAGCAGGCAGGGCAGAGCAGATACTATGTTCACTGTCAAACCCCTGAGCTCTTATTTTATATGAATTTTTTGGCTGGATGCTCACATACAGACTTTCACTGATCATGTTTCTAAGTACCACCAGTGCCAGATTAACACCATCCAGCATCCTAGGACCATGTGGGCCTCCCTCCCAGTGGTGGCCCCGCCCATGATGAGATGAGCAACATCCTTCCCATCTGTTCAGCTGTGGTGCAGCATATGGGAGGTGGCTGCTGCTGCCAGCTCTGCATGAGGCTGCCTGCAGACTCAGGCAGCTGTTGTGCATTGGTCACATTTGATCCACCTGTTCAAGCTTTTCCTCTCCGCTAGGACTGCCAGAGACAGAAAAGGGATTAGAAAGAAAGTTTGAAAGAAAGCTTAGATTCTGTTGCTTTCATAGGGCCCTGGGATGGGCCTGCTATACCCATGTACTGGGCTTTCGTCCACAAATCTGTAGGTATCTTGTGTGCCAGAATCAAAGCACAGTGTTTGCCTGGGATCTTTGGGTGATTAAGGCTCAGTCTGACCATTGTGTGTCATGTGTGGCTGACTAGGAGACAGCAGCCAAGCATAAGCCACTAGATCATGGTTGAATATCGTGGCAGCTTAAAATAAGCCAGCTGCTGGAAGTGGTGCTTTCCTCTGAGTCAGACTGGAACCTTGCCGAGCCTAGTAAAAGGGGTTAGAGCTAAGTTAATCCAGTCCTGGCCGCCCCAGCCACTAAAATACCTGCGGCACCTTTTGTAAGTGTCACAATGTCAACTCTGCTGCCCCAGCCAATTTCACCGGATGCCATAGAATCATAGAACACTAGAACTGGAAGGGACCTCGAGAGGAAGGGACCTTACGGCAGAATGTCCTTTTATCCTAACTTCTAAAACACCGCCAGCACCCCACTGTTTGAAATGGAGCTGATATTTTCTTCTCTTTGCTGATTCAGACTGTTGCTGGGTGCTGTGAAATAGTTGCTGTGATCTGCCCTAGAAGTGGCTGCAGTGATAGGTGAAATGATCCCTGGGTATAGCTTACCTGGGAGCCTTCAGGATGAAAGATGCTCTGGGATATTGTCAGGGTTAGGTTTAAAGGCTCATTCAGAAGTCTCTGTCTTACACAGGGCTGAGTAGCAGCCAGCAAACAAAACAAACTGACCAAAATAAATTAAACCACCCCCCCCCCCGG